ATGAATCATAAGATGAAAAAAAAAGAATTTTTGGCTCTAGATCCTTTGGTTGTAGAGAGAAATTGTTATTTGTGTGTTTGCCAAAGGTTTTCAATGAAAAACGGAATTTTTGTTTATGTAGTAGGTCGTTTTTGGTAGTAGGGATCGTTTAAAATTCACGAGGAAGGAAAATTACCAAAAGCCATATAGCACTGTCGCTCGAGCGAAGTGTTGGCGAAACTCGAGCGACGCACCTTCGCTCGAGCGACCCCTCAGCGAAACTCTAGCGACAACAGTTCTGTTATTTAGGCTCGAGCGAGGTCAGGGCGAAACTCTAGCGAGATCAACGTGCCATTTGCATCTTCAAAGCATCCAACCTTACCCTAGACCTATGCTATAAACTTTGCAAAATTGCAACACAAGTCCCTGAACTATTAGAACTTTACAATTTAGTCCTTGACTTTACAAACATGACAAATTGGTTCTTTGGTCACAGATTGCCAATTACAACATTTTCCTAACACACTCATTTTTCAAAAAAAAAATACTATTCCATCAATTAATTTTTCCACGTAATGGGGGTCAAACAAGGGCTATATAACCAGCCCTTGTTCGAGGCTTTGAGCCCATTCTTTTGAAAAAATTCATTTTTCAACAGTATTTTAGGCCTTATTTGATCTTAATTATTTTTTCATTAAAATGAAAAATATGATCGTTATCCATCACATCAAATCACTATATTTGACTTTTTATTTCTTGTGTGGAACTTATAGCGCCTATATTTTTCATTCTCAATTTTAAAATAATATTATATGTAAATTTAAATTTTTTTCTTATTTTACACATTTTTTATCAATACACTGTTCAAAAATTCATTCTCTCCCTTAAAATGGGGCTCAAACACCTAATTCTGAAGATTCTGAAAGAAAAGAGTCTCTTACAAACAATAGCATTTTCTTTTATACATATTATTACTCATTTTTATCCATTATAATTTAATTTATTTATAAACACTTTCCACGTTGTTTTTTTTTTTTAGTATTCCACGTGCTCGAATACTATTTTCATTTTGCATTCACGGATAGCCTTTTCGTTAAGTTTGCTAAGCAACTTGGGAGCATTTCATAATCCGAGATCATAATTTTAAAATTGCATAACCTCGACAAATGTTCGTGTGAAACATGCAAACATACGGGATCGTTATACAAGGAATAAGATTTGTGAGTTAAGAATATCGTTTCCATGAGGAATAAGGTCTAATCTGTAGTTCAATAGTGGTTATTAAATTCAAAGTGTAGTGATATCAAGAGAGTTGTGATTTGTATGTTTTCTATACCAATCATAAACTAAGAAAGCAAATAAAATAGTTATCTAGGGGGTGTTTGGCACCTGTTTTATGGGAAAATGAATTTAGAATGGTAAATTGATGGAGAATATGTGGATAAAAAATTTAAAAAAATGATTTACGTGTAATATTATTTTAATCAAGAATGTGTGACTAACAAGAAGAGAAAGAAAAATACATTTTTATAAAAATGAGAATCAAACGGAACTCTAATATATGAATATTTGTATTGGAATCGTGAATCCCCTATTACCATTTAATTCAACTCTTAATTCATAATTTAGTAAATTCGTGCATTCAAAATAATCAATAATTCACTCTTATTCAATATTCTTTTTCAAAATATATTAAACATATGTTTAACACGACCCGATCATATTCTTAGTCGGAATTCATATGAATAAGATACATTGATTTACATGATTTATCACACATAATTGTATATATTATAAATATTATTCTTAATACATATTGTCCATGTGTTGATTTTACTGCATTCTTCCTATACTACAATAAGCAACTTACTATCTAATTGGTAACCAAATAATTAAATAGTTCAATGGGAATACAAAACCAATTAAGAAAAATCATGAAATACTAAATTAATTATCTTGAATTAAAATAAACAAATAATAAGGTTCTTCATTCATTCAATATAATGAAAAACTCACATAACATATTAATATATAAATTACAAGAAGAATAATAAAAAAATATCATCGGATCATGAATGAATAGAAAAGATGTTGATCTTCAAGTCCAAAATTGAATTCTTCAAAATCTTGATGTAATTGAACTTCAATTCCTTGCTATGGTTTAATCTCCTTTCTCAAAATATAGTAATTGACCCCTTATGCTTGATGAATTTGATGAAAATATTGTGTATGAAGATGCAAGAAATAGACTTTTTCATTGCTGTCCATATCTTGTATTTATATGATGAAATTTGGTTAAAATTTACGTCCAGAAATGCTTTCCAAAAGTGTTTTAATTAAATAAGGAAAGTTCCTTTCGCGCGTGCATGATTTTGTTTTTGTACAGCGTTCAATATTTTGATCATAACTTTATATTCCGGCGTTCGATTGAGATGATTCAAAGTGCCTTGGAAAGTTAATTCAAAGCTAAAATTCTTTTAGAGACACAATTTTTCCAATTCGAAGGTTTTTTATCCGAAAAATGGGTCTCAGATTGACCAAAAATCTTAAAGATATTTTATGTAATTAAAGTCGATTTATGGTAATATTCTGATCATATATCTTTCTTTTTTTACTTCAATTTACATTCAATTGACTCCTATCAAACTTCAAAGTATCTTTTGTGGTCCAAATCAACCATTGGATATTTACATTTTGATCCCTATACTTTGAATTTTCTTTCATTTTTGCTCATTTTTCGTTCCTTTCTTCAAATTCTTCTTTGAAACATGAATTTTTTCTAATAAAAGTAATAAATAACAAATTAGGTATTAATTTATTCAAAAAATAACAAAATATCATCATTTATGATCCCAAATAAATATAGAAACTACACTTATCAACAAAAGTTCCTAGGCAAATCTTAAAAACTTTCAATTTTCATATGACTACTATCTCTCCCAACGAAAATCGATGAAAAGTGAGAATTCTGCTTGTGATGCACAAATTTCTATTTCACGGATAATTATACTCTTGTTCTAAATTGAAAAAAATAAATAAAAAATAAGTAATAACAAAATCATCAACTTCTTTCCACAACCACATTTGAGTTAAACAATTTACTTGTGGAGGTTGAGGAATATTGTCCTCCCAAATAAACAAATTATCAACGATTTATCTTTTAATGGATGTTTGGTGGGGATTAAAATTAACTTTTTTAGTAGATTATGATAGAAGTTTTTGAAATATGTGGTTGAAAAGTTGTAGAATACAAAAAAAATGTGGTTAATATTTGTTGACGTAAAAAATTGTGAAGACTAATTTTTAAGTCTACTTTAAGAAAAAGGACCACTCATGTTCATTCTGAGAGATCAGTTTGTACACTTCATGTTTCTTTTTTCTTACCCCGTTAAAGAGAATCATTTCCCACTATTTATAAAGGTCTTGACCGAAAATTGTGTCATTTTAATCAAATCAGTCACTTGTGCCGAGCTCAAACCACATGCCGCCAACCTCTCCCGTGATTGGTTAATGAGGCCGATAGCCATCACGTCACTTTTTTCCTTCAGGTAATGATAGATTGCAAAGGATAGGGGAGCCAAGGCAGTTGATTGGTAGGTATAGGTGGTGCTAACATCACCTTTTACAAGTGTATGTGATTGAAGGAATGATGTGATATGATATAAGGAATCTGCAATCATTTTATCTTTTAAGGTAACGGCGACAATATGTCGAGTTGAGCTTATGATCGAGCTCACACATATATGAGGTGGGCCCTGCAAACAATAGATGTGAGATCGGAGGTTGATCGTCAACAATATTGATTGCTTAACTTTGATTTAGAGTAAAATTAGATTTTAATCCAAATCAAACATGCTCTTGTACTATATAGTGTAGACAAAACTAAGAGAGCGAATGAACCAAAATCAAAGATACATTAGATGTTCACGAATTTTTCATTTATTTAATTAGTGATGTCCATATCTTAGGGCCGAAAAAAAGAGCCCTGCTGGACGGACAGGGCCACATAGGCACTATCCGTCTAGGCGCCCCCTCTACGTGGCCCTGTTCAAGAAGATTTTTTTCGAAAAAGTCCTCCAAATGATTTCTCCTCTGCATAGTCTCCAACCTGACAATAATAGGAAGAATATATTATGCGTGCTATAGAATTAAATAGCAAAATGAAAAATTTACTTCAATGTTTTTTGAATTCCAGGGAAATTTTAGCATTAAAGATGGATTTGCAAAAGTTGATGGAAAAGCACGAGCAAAGTGAAGACAAATACCCATGTTTTTGTATGTAATATTAGACTATAGTGGGCATACAGCCAACTAGATTTTATCCTTCTTAATGTTGACACTGCCATTTAATCCATGTTCACAAATATACCTATATGTTGGTTATGGGGGAGGAAGGTCGAATAACTAATTAGAGTTGGTTAATCAAGCCATGTTGTCTCTTCTGGTTAAGCAAAAACGCATAATAATTCGTGTAAGCACGATCTGCGATGCGAACACAAATATCATACCGAAATTGGCTCCTTTGAGGGGTCCATGTTTTGCCTTTCTTTTCTATATATTTTATTAATATTATTATTACTTTGTTTTTTTCTCTAACAAACCTTCCCAACTTCTCTAACTTCTGAAAATCTCATGCGGGTTAATGGAGAGACTTAACATTCGGGCTGATGGCGGTGATAATGATTGTAACACCTGTAACAATCAGACTGTAAAGTCATTCATTGAAGCCTGTAACAGAGCTCTTCTTTCCATTGTCCCACAAAGGAAAGAGAGCAAGAAGCCTCACCGCTCTGGTCAGAAATTTTTCTTATCTTCGTGTCCAGAATCTTCCTCCTCCTGTCCTAGTCTTGGTGATAGTTCAGATTAAGTTCATAGATCAATTTCTACCTGTTTTTCCATTGTATCCTGGAAAATAGAACACTCAATAAAACATCAACCACTTAAGACGAACATAAGGACATTGTATTTACAGAAGCCTCAATTTGTTAATTTTCTGTTTTGTTCTTCTCCAGTATAATAAATATATTATAATATTCTGTAATTTTTCCCAACAAAAGTTTCAACAAGCATCCAATTTCGGGTCTAGCAATAATATCTGTAGTGTGTATATATATATGTCAAATTCTTAAATGCCAAAAAAAAAAAAAAGTTCATTTCGGTAAATCAATATAATATAGTCTGAACATTCAGAGGCATTTAAAATCCAAGGTTGATTACTGAGCTTGGTCACCTACACTGAAACCTCTATCAGCAGCATAATCCACGAAACTGTATAACGGCACAACCTTCTCACCGTACTCCTCTAAGCCGTCCAACTCTTTCTTAGCCTGTGCTCTAAGATCCTCGGCCACCTCCATCGCTTTGTCTACACCATATGCTGCAACATAACTTTTACTCTTGTTTTTCTTCTTATCGTTGATTTCTTTATCCGTTTTTGCTTCCAACATATCGTTCACCACTTGATACAAAACACCAACAGCTCGACCATATCTTCTCAATCGTTGGATCTCCTCATCTGAAGCACCAGCTAAGAGACCTCCACACACAGCAGAGCATTCACCCATTTCACCATACTTCTTCTCTTGGACAAAATCAACACCATTCAGTCCACCCTCAAGATCAAGAAACTGACCAGCAGCCATACCGGTGGACCCCACGGCTCGAGCAATCTCTGCAATGACCTTTAGGAGGCGAGTCTGAGGGACAAGGTCAGTTGGAGTATGGGAAACAATGTGGCGGAAACCAAGAGGGAACAAGGCGTCCCCGGCTAAAATTGCCATATCAACCCCAAACATTGTGTGGTTGGAAGGTTGGCCTCTTCGGGATGGGTCATCATCCATGCATGGCAAGTCATCGTGAATCAATGAAGCAGCATGAACCTAGTCAAAATGTACCAGAATGACGAATAAGAGAATAATTATCAGAATCAATGGTCTTAATTACTGGAGCTATACACTTTTTTAAGAACAGACTAATTGTAATAGGGATTCATTTGCTAAAATCCTTTAATATAATTGCTAAAACATAAGTCTAAAGTCTCACAAATGCAGACCTTTATAAGCTTATATAACCATACCAACAAAGCACTGATCACTAGCTTATTTTGTTGGTAAACACTAAGCTTTTCCTTAATTTTTCTATGAAAGATGGAACCAAGAACTTTATTTTTAAAAAAAAATTTCACCCTAAAAAATATACATTGCCGTCTTAAAATATTTTTTGTGCCCTGAAAAACAATCAAGATTGCAACAATTTGATCATGCCCAGTAATTCATAATATTTTACTAAAACTCGATTTGAGAGAAACAATTAAGACATTAATTTATCCCTACTTCACATAAATCTATCTCTTGAATTGGCATTCATAATTCTCACATGAGGATGATCTTAAATTGGTACCCCCTCTGCCCAAATAAAATTAACCTAGTATGTTCCCTTCTTAGTTATCTCACATATGTTCCCTTAAAAGCTATTTCTAGATAGCAAGTTATGAAAAGTAAGATTGGTTATTAAAAGATCAACTTTAAAAGTAATTAACTTACAACAATTTGACTTATTTCAAGCACGCCTAAACATGCTTTATCTGAATTTGTTTTATACCTCTCTTCCAAGTGAAACTGCATTAAAATTTTACAGCATACAAGTAACAAATGTTAACATAACTACCTTTCATAATACCCGAACTTCACGTTATACACTTGGCCAATATAATTCATGCATTTCATGCTATTTACATTGCCATTTGCATTTGCATCGATTGTCCATAATTGCTTTCCCTTTTAATGGTACATTTGATCATCGAAATTTAATATCTCTTGTCGTATTAGTCTTCGGCCTTCCCGACCTAGGTAGTGAACTTTACATTGACTTATGGTGGAAAATTAGGTTCATCGATGTGTTTTGAGGTTAATTTGTTAAGCAATTGTAATTTTAGAGGTACCACAATTATTATCGATAAGGTTACATGCTCTTAATTTGAAATGATCCAGGTTATCCCAAGTTCTAGGTAAGTCCTTAACATACTTGGGACATAAAGCACGAAGTGACGTGATCACAACGTAATAATATAAGGTTCATGTGAAGTAATAAATATTGGAGATCAAAGTGTTGATATAGGTTGAGAACCGTCAATAGGGTAAGCAATCGAACGAAAGGTTAAGGAATTCGCACAATAAAATATTTTGGGATCTTAAGGCAAGTAAAATAGGTGGCAAACAAATTAAAATAGGTCATGAGTACTTGATTTGTACCTGCAAAGATAAGTACAAAATCAGATTTTACTACAAAGAGCCACATCATGCTTAGTACACCTCATGCTCGTTGATTTGTCTTCCTAATAGCTAATTCCTTCACTCCTAAGCCTTCCTCGTGTCTCCAACTCCTTCAAGACTTCACATATATCCCTAAGTCACATATATCTCCAGAAAGGATAAGTGCAAAATCAGATTTTTACTACACAGAGCCACATCATGCTTAGTACACCTCATGCTTGTTGATTTGTCTTCCTAATAGCTAATTCCTTCACTCCTAAGCCTTCCTCATTTCTCCAACTGCTTTAAGACTTCACGTATATCCTAAGTCACATATATCTCCAAAAAGGATAAGTGCAAAATCAGATTTTTACTACAAGAAGCCACATCATGCTTATTACACCTCATGCTTGTAACACTTCAAACAATAATTTTTCTTAGTCCTTAAGCAGGTATCATGACCCCAATACTTTAAGACTCTATATATCTCCCAAATAAGAGATTTACTCTTCCAACTTACCTCCAATCGATTCGAAGTGAGAGAGAAAGCAAAGGAAACAAAGAGAAGTAGGAAACAAGTAGCTAGGAACTGAATTTCTAAGCAAGTATTGTCACGGTTTTGAGGTTTGTCTTCATTATTTTTGAGTGATTATGACCTCTTGAAACTCTGAACTTGATTAAGATTATCTTGGGGCGTTGTCGATGATTTTGTTATAACAAAAGAGGGGTAATTGGTTTGCAAGAACTTGAGTTAAACCACCATGGACAGAAATTGATGGTTTCTCAATTTTAGACATTAATACTTTGAAAGCAATGTATATTTATCAATTTGAATGTTTTTATATAAGAGTTATAAATCTACAAATTATTTTTGATAGGTTAGAACTTGATTTGTGGTATGTTAATTCAAGTGAAACTCAACACAGTCATAGTGATATTCTTGATTCGGTGTTTTGAAAAAGGGACTGACTTTGAAGCTTTAAACCCTTCACTTTTGGCAATTTTAGGGCATTGTTACATTCATATACACATTATATATGTGTGGTAAAAGCAATGTTATCAAAACCGAACCGGACTGGCCAGTTGAGCATGAAATGTCGGGAACTGGTTAAATATCCAGTTTGGTTAATTCTCAAAACCTAAATAATTTAAAACTTGCAAAAAGACCCAGCATATTTGCCTATTAATCGTAAATCGGGGTGTACCGGAACCAATTTTATCAATTGGCTGATTTTAAAATTCTTGTTTTAAAATTTGGGCCCAACACATTGAATGCATTTAAAGGCCCATAACATATAAGTGAAAGTTGACCACTATTAGAGAATCGAGACATGTGAGATATGCTTATGTGATATTTGTTGCTATCGCAAGTGAGACTTACCGGGTGATCACAGAGAAAGATAGGGGATGTACCTTTGGTGATCATGGGAGGATAAATCACTTGATTGTGCCTTTATAATATTGTGATTATTAACGCCGCAGGTGGGATACTTCTTGGGTAATTATAGGGGATGCACTTATAGTGGTTACATGAGGATGGTCCACTGGACTGTGTTGATACTATATATTGGCTATCTGATTATTGATACCGATACTGCGCATAGCATTATTCGATGCATGGTAGGTGAGTCAAGGGTCCAACGAAAAAAGGTTTTAAAATGAAATTATATTAAGCTTGCTTCATGAATACTTGAATATGATGCATCCCTAGCATAATGTTTTCCAAGGAATTGTTATGGACACATACCATATATTCATGGCATATATGATTTTTATTTACTGAGCATTAGTTTATGTAGTTCTTGCATTATAGACGAGCATATAATTGCATAAAAGACATGGATGGCTCTGAAGAACTTGTAGGATTTCGAGAGTCAATGTACCAGGATGACGACGTGTAGGGTTATTTCGGGGACTGATCTTTTGGTATTACAGTCCTTTTACTTATTTTGGAAAATTGTATTATGTATATATGACTTGTGAAATAGTATGGTAATACTTTTGTAACCCCAAAGTGAGCATGTCTTAATAAGGTTACACAGTCTATTGTCTGGATACATTATATGAACATCAGAGGTTATAATGTGGATATGCATGTATTTTTATTGCGTGGCTATTTATCCCATGTTACCATTTTCAGAAAAAAGAAGAAATGCGAACTCATGTTAAGTCAAATTCTATTTTATACACATAAGTATATAAGTTGTCTATATAAAAGAGGGTAAGATACCTTTGATGCTTCAATTAGAACCTATATCCCTCTTGGCTTAGTCTAAATGCCAAATGAAAACCCATAGACACCAAACGGCAAATAACAAGAATTCAAGAAACAGTAACATCTTAAATTCATAATTAAAGTTTTTATCTTCCAATCCAAGAAAGGCTCGAGTGATAATGAATATATCCATTTAATATTACATTATTTGGCTAATAAAAAACTTGATTCTTGTAGCATTCTGAAAGAATTAAATATTTCTTTAGTCAATCACCAATTGAGGGGCAAATAGCTGGCTGGGTCCAGCTCCAACAATTATATACCCTCATTTGGCTTAAAAGGAAGTCAAATTACTTATTTTGTTCAAAGCTAATTCTTAACTAAACATGCTCTTATCACCAAGAAATTCAAACAAAAATAAACAGGAAAACCCAAAAACTTGAGAAGTAATTTTAATAGAAGCCAAAGAAGAAAATAATAATAATTAAAAATTGAATGAAGAAATATGAAGGAAACCACTGACCATTTCAAGAGCGCAGGCGGTGGGAAAAGCGGCAAGGCGATTGCCGCCGAAGAGCTCACAGGCGGCAACACACATGACAGGTGGAGACCTCTTGGCACCTTTGGCTAAAACAGAGTAACGCATGGCCTCATAGATCTGTTGTGGGTACTGTACTGGAATTGCCTCATCGAGTTTGTGATTGATTTCTTGAATCAGAGTAGTCCAGTAAGTCTTGAGATCAAATTGAGAAGTCGAAATTCGTTGTGGGGTTGTAGAAAGAGAAGCAGAACAGGTTCGAATTGCCCTTTGGATAATTGGAAAACTGGTTTTTGGGAAATGGAGTTGAGGTGAGGATGTTATAACTGTTGAGAAGACCATTTCTTTGTGTATATGTATTGTGCTTGTGATTTCTACTTGAAGAGATGCACAGATAGAGAGAGATGGAGAGGGGTTAAGATAGAGGTAGAGACGTGGAAGATTGTGTTATAGTGGGATTTTGGAAGTGGCTTCCAACCTTCCACACTGAAGGATGACTCGTTGCGATGAGGAAAATGAATGTATAATTACAGCTCTATTTTCCAAGGGAATAGGGCAATTAAAAGGAAAATTTGAGATTTAAAAGTTATTTTTGAATTTATTTAATTAATTTTATGAAAATATATTTTTCTGATTAAAAGAAATTTTAGAGGAAGTCGTTTTAATGTAATTTTCTGTAAAAGTACTTTTAAAATAGGAAGTATCTTAAAAATTAGTTTCGAAACAAAAATGAAGGTAGCTTTCTTTTGAAAATTCTTCTACATGATGCAAAAACAAAAGTCATGTCAAACAGATCCTTAGTCTTTGTTTAATTTGAATAAAAAATTAAATTTTTAGTTATTTTGATAAAAGTTAGTGAAATGTATGATTAAAAAATTAATAAATATTGTGAATTCCATGAAATATGAGGTTAAAAATAAATTTTATGAAAATTGAATTTTAAAAAATGGGAAGCCAAACAAGGACTTAGTTTAACAAGGTTGGTGTCAGAAAAACGTAGGCAAGACATAGCCCCCGTTTGATTCCCATTAAATTCAATTACATTACATTCTATTATTCTCTCTCCTATTTTCAACCACACAATTTTCTATAAAATAATATTACAAGTAAATCGAAAATTTTTCCTTCTTTTTCAATCATTCATTTTTCTAAAAAATTCTATTTCCTCCATTTTCATTTTCAAGTAATGGGGGTCAAACGGGGGCTAAAAGGGTATTTTTTACATATACAATTATTCTTCGTTCTTTTCTTTGTACAATTGAGATGTATAACACGTTTAGCCCTTGTTTGTCAACCATTTTCTCACATTCTCTTACATTATTTTTTTTCTACAGTACTCATTTTCAACTACACATTTTTCATTAAAATAATATTACACATAAATTAAAAACTTTTTTTTCTTTTTAACCACACATTTCAACATCAATCACTATTTCATATTCCAATTTTTGAAATTAAAGGGCCACAAACATGGCCTTAGTATTGTGTAGAGTGGATAGCTGTTGACACATAAAAATTCAGCCCAAATCGAACAGCCTAAGGAATGAAGCCCAATTGGAGGATCCCCAAATCAGATAGCCCAAAGAACGAAGCCCAATCAAACAAATCAAGACGAAGGCCCAAATAGGGAGGCCCAAGAACGCGGTAACGCCATCGCCCAAGTTTGCAAGTCGCCCAGAATCTGAGTGAATGGAATACCATACAGTCGCCTAGAGCTGTTACTCTATTCTCGCCCAAACCTTCAAGTCGTCCAAGGTCTTAACAAACATAAAGCGTTGTGGTTATCAAGAAGTGCAGTTATCAAAGCAGTTGTTAAAGTAGCCCTATCACGTTCCACGATTCAAAGAATTCAATCGAAAGCGGTTGAACGACGAAGAGTAATGGCAGCAGTTAAAAGAAGGCAGTTTTCATGACAAGTTGGCCATCACGAGGAAAGTGGGCAGTTATAGGATAATTAAGCAGTTTTTAGGCGGTTGATCACAAAGAGATCGTCCATGACGTATAAAAGGGAGAAAAAACATAGAGCAAATGACTGAATCAAAAACTCTCGAACAGAGAACATGTAATTTTAATTTCCTTAATAAGACTTAAACACTTTTCTTTCAGTAACTCGTGTGCTTGTGCCCCTTGGAGACACTTTGTTTTTAATTCCCAATTGTAAAGTCATCGCTAATAAAAGAACACCCATTTTTGGAACTTTGTCTCAAAAGGTTTGTCCCTTACACAATCGTCTGATCCTTTTTAATTGTTAGCGATTAACCCGCGCGAAACAATTTGGCACGCCCAGTGGGACAGTGGTGTTTGGTGTTGAAAGTACAAAAGGTGAAACAATATGCCTCAGAGATCCGATAAGGAAGCAGCAAGTCAAAAAGGAGTCCAGTCTGTGATCGAGCGATATGAGGAGCAGCATGCCTCTCCACGAACAGATGGACAGAATTAGAGCAGTAACAGTCGTTACGAACCAATGACGGAGTTGAGTCCTCGAACCATGCGTGCATTACTGGGAGAACTCACACAAGACGTTGTTGAATAGGTAAATCTTCGAAGTATTCATAATATGGAAAGATTTACCCAAAATGGAAATGCACACTATGACAATATGGTCAAACAACTAAATACTTTGAACGAAACAATGAATAAGTTAGTAGGCCAATTATGTCAATCGGCTATACCCCTTGCAAATCATTTTCAAATTAGGACAATTGTGGGACATAATCCCTCAGTCCTAAATCCGAATCAAGGGGTAGAACCACTTTCTAGTCCCTCTACTTCAAACTAAGGGGGTACTGCAGCGCCAAATCAAAACAATGGTAGTGGTACGCCTAACTTGGGGGTAATCCAACTATAAGAGATAATGCCCTAAACAATGGACAGCACATCCCACGTGTTAATGAGGGAATAGATGTTCAGGTTAATGGTAATGGCCCTAATTATGGCAATTTTGTTGCCAATCAAGGACCAAACATCAGGCCTCATGCAAATCAACCGGTTAATCAGCCTGTAGGAATTCCATATGATCCCAACGTCATGTTAAGGAATCAGATTATGGAAATCGTACATGATCAGATGGCTTTTGGGGTGCGTCCCGTCATTAGGCCGACGTACACAAAGCCACACCCTGATTAGGTAGACTAAGCATATCCATGGCCTAGAGGGTACAAAGTGCTAGAATTCTCACTGTTTACCGATTTAGGAGAGGTGTCTACTCTAGAACACATAAGGCGATTCACATTGCAGAGTGGTGATGTAACCGATTACCATAAAATGAGGCTTTTCCCTAGTTCATTAACAGGAGTAGCTTTCTCCTGGTTCATCAACTTGCCAGCGAACTCTGTTCAAACATGGCAACAATTGGAACAGTTATTTCACGCTCAGTTTTATAAAAATGAGTCTGAAGTCACTTTGGCTGATTTGGCGAATCTACGTCAAATGCCAAACGAATGGGCAGAAAGTTTTCTCCAAAGGTTCAAGACAGCAAGAAGCAAGTGTTTTGTACCTCTGCCCGAAAAAGAATTTGTCAAAATTGCTCAGGGCTGCTTGAGCTTTGATTTAAAGAAGAAATTCCAAGACAAGGAATTTCCTGACCTTTTCCAGTTGAGTGCGAATGTGATTAGGTATGAACGACTGATAAGAGAGGAAGAACAGATGAAAAATTCTAGTAAAGGGACTTATTACGAAGACCCAAATTTTGATGTTAATACCATCAGTGATGAGTCATACGACCGGGCCGAAATGTGTTTGGCCGAATTGGTCAAAGGAGATATATATACTTGTCCCATAATGGTCAAACCTAGACCATCGGGCAAAGATGAGCCCATAAAAGATGGAAACATAAAGGCTAGAACGTTCTCGTTCGACGTGACCAAAGCTGACCTTATATTTGATAAATTATATAGGGATAAGCAAATAAAGTTGAGCGATAAGCACAAATTGCCAAACCCTGAACAAATTAAGGGTAAAAAATATTGTAAGTGGCATAATGCATGATCACATTTGACTAACAATTGCTTGGTTTTCCGCCATGTATTGCAGGATACCATTGAATCAGGATGAATTACGTTCGATGATAAGAAGAAGATGGCAGTGGATGAAAATCCTTTCCTACAGCCACTTGGAGTAAACATGGTGACATCTGGATTTAAAAACAAGTTGCCAAAATTCAAGTTGGTCGTAGATGATGGAGAAGAGGATCCTAGACCACATCCCAGCGTCTTTGAACGAATCAAGGGGAAAGAACCAAAAAATGACGAAGACATCCTGTGTGCAAGGTGTAAAAGAGAAGTGAACGGAAATACGGAGAAACCCGGAACATGGCAGCATCCTCATCGCCCTACCTTCTTCCCAAACACTCAGCCTAGTAGAGGGCGAGGTACATCATTCTATAGAGGACCGCCTTTTGAGAGGCAGTTCAGGTCAGGAGATAATGGAAGAACATTCAGGCCGCAACCTTGCCGGCCAAATGTATGGCATTCATTCCAGTACAATGCAGGAAGGACAATACCCTTTGATGAGATGACTAGGACCCAACAAAGGCGTTTTCAACGAAACTACGGATGGATGATGAGGCAGCAACAGGGAGTGCCACATCCTAAAGCGCCTAAACTACTCAAGGTAGCCAATCAAAATATCCTCAAAAATAGTGAAGAGACCGGTACAGACGAATCAATAAAGGAATTGCCAGAAACTTCTTCTGGGAGATCAAAGTTCGAACGAGACAGAAGGGATGGAGAAGATCAAAATCAGCCCCTTACCATCCAGTTTGGTACGTTACCTCCTGTCGTGGCCAATAATTACTTACTGGCCAATGAATTCAAGAATAAAGAAAAAGAAGAAGAGAGGGAGGACAACGAAGGAGAAGCTTGTGTGCTGGTATGTGAAGAAGGCCAGACTTCTAGAGAGGCCTACCACGATGAAGAAGACGATGGGATGACAGATATTGAAGAAGAAATCGACCTAGAAGCAGAAGGAAGAAAGAGAGGAGTATCGCGCAATACTCTGTTGAAGCAACTACATCGAGAGGGAGTTCGCGAAGTAGACTTGTTGAGGGAACCGTCTGGGCGTCCTTTCGATTTCTATGTACTGTACGGGACGCCCAAAAGGAAGAAGAGAGTGCCTCGCTCTGAAAAGTATGGGTCACCTCCAAGAATAATGCCCCCTCCCACAGGTTGGATAACTGATGAGAAAGCATTAAAAAAAAGTAGGAAGGAAGTTCAGAAGACAGAGGATCAGCGTGATATACTGCACGTCGATTTATCACAGGGGGATAATTCGACAGAAAACAAGCAGGAAGTAGAAATAGAGGCTGCCGGAAAGGTTATTTTTAAATGGCCAGCCATGAAATTGACTAAATACTTGAGGCCGTTGTACGTTAAAGCTCTAGTTAACAGTATCCCAGTGGCAAAAGTACTTGTCGACAATAGAGCAGCTATAAACACCATTCCATCTAGGATGATGAGGAAGTTCGCAAAGACAGAAGGTGACATGATTCCTACAGAAGTCATCCTCATG